AATAAATCAATGGACTTGGAAGCTATTATAGGAAATCACATGGATCAATAAGACCTGTAGTCTAAAGATCTGAATGGAGGTTTGAATAAAAAAAAAAAAAAGGTACTGAAAACTATAAAGGAATCTGATGGTGAAAGAGAGGAAGACAGCCCTAAATCATAACTTGGGGTTGCTCTTGACCTCCATATCATCCATCCCTAAGCACAATGCTGTCTGTGTGGGCTGAACAAATGTCCTAGGCTGAAAACAGAGGAATGGAGCCAGATGGCCAGCATGAGTAGAAGTACTGATGGGGTCAGAGACCAGAGACTGGACATCTGCCTAACCCGCAGCTGGAGATGTGGCAAGAAGATGTAAAGATTAACCGTAAAGGAGAGAGATTTTTTTATTTTCTTCCCTTTCAAGGCCAGGAAATACACCTTTCTGAGGTTCAGGTTAGTGACAATACTTACAATCTGAAATATGGATGTTTCTTTCTTTCTTTTTTTTTTTTTTGAGAGAGAGAGAGTTTTTTAAATATTTATTTTTTAGTTTTCGGTGGACACAACATCTTTTGTTTGTATGTGGTGCCGAGGATCCAACCCGGGCCGTACACATGCCAGACGAGCGCGCTACCGCTTGAGCCACATCCCCAGCCCTGAAATATGGACGTTTCTATTTTACAAAAGTGATCTATTTCTAGGAGTGTGAAATTGGTTCGTCTTCCATTCTCCAATCTGGAAGCAGAGCACAGCTGGAGCAGCAGGGATTGATGCTGGGTGGGGTGGACCTGCCGGGAGGGAGGAGGTGAGATGCTGCCCAACAGAAGGGTGTGTTGAGCATGGCCCATGTGCCCAGAGCACATCTGGTTGGCCCATGTTCCTGCCAGCTGCGAGCTTTAATATCTGGGGCTGGGCACCAGGGGCGTGGCCATGGTGCCAGACTGAAGAGTGAGGCTGTTTGAAATTCTCTAACTGGTTCCTTCTGAGCAAGGAACAGCTTAAGACATAGCTGGGACAGTGTTGGCACCTTCCAAGTGGGCCCAGTACAGCAAAGGGACCACTATGATGCCAAGCGAAAATACCTTCTTTTGGTGCCTAACCTTATCTGTAATGTCCGGATTGCCTTCGCCATCACTGCTTTCTAAAAGTCATGCCCTCCTGCCTGCTCAGTCTCCTCCTTCTACCTGCTCAGCAGACTTCTGGAAGCTTTTGTTGTTGTTGTTGTTCTAATTAGTTATACTGACAGCAGAATGCATTCTGGACACTTTTGATGGACTCGCTGCTAGAGCCCTTTATCAAGGAGCCTGGTTTGGGGCCATGTTGGACGTGCTGCTCCACCATGTGTCTGTTGGTCAACCTGACCCTGCTGTACCCTTGAGCTACCCTTTTCTTCCAGCTCAGCATGAGTTTGGAGGTGGCCAGTCACTGGATGTACCACTGCAGTTCTGTGATTGGAGGCAGTGAGAGTCACAAGATGATGGACCTGTTAGGGAATCCAGTGCTTTGGATCTATATATTTCCAGGCCTGCTCTGTTCACCCTCTGTGCTGCAAATGAGCTCTTTTACTGCCTCCTGTACCTATTCAATTTCTCTGAAGGACGATGAGTTGGCTCCAGCTCTGTGGGGCTTTTCTGAATGGGCCTCTGGGTCACTGCCCCATTCACCTTGGTCAAGTCCCTAATCAGCATTATCCACCTGATCACAGCTGCTAACATTGCTGCCCTGGACCCAGCAAACTGTGCCAAGAAATGACCCTGGCACCTCCTGGTATCCCCACCTGACCTGGGCATCTTATTGCACACAGGGTCCCCCTCTGTTCTCTTCCTCCTCTCCTATGAGGTCCATCCTCATGTCTTCCTAATGTGTCCTCCAACGGGCTGGGATGGGGGTCAGCCTCTCTTTGGTGATATCACAATCTCTGTAATCCTGAGAACCAGGTCCACCCTTGTTATGCTTGATGACCTGGCCTACAAATCAGAAAGGATGGAACACCCCGGTGGAGAAACTGAGGTCATCAAATTTGAAATATTTAAAGTGGATACAAAACTATTTCCACAATGCAGACAATTAAATGCGTTGTTGTGGGCGATGGCGCTGTTGGTAAAACATGCCTCCTGATATCCTACACAACRAACAAATTTCCATCCGTATGTACCAACTGTTTTTGACAACTATGCAGTCACAGTTATGATTGGTGGAGAGCCATATACTCTTGGACTTTTTGATACTGCAGGGCAAGAGGATTATGACAGATTACAACTGCTGAGTTATCCACAAACAGATGTATTTCTAGTCTGTTTTTAAGTGGTTTCTCCGTCCTCATTTGAAAATGTGAAAGAAAAGTGGGTGCCACTGTTCAAAGACTCCTTTCTTGCTTGTTGGGACCCAAATTGATCTCAGAGATGACCCATCTACTACTGAGAAATTTGCCAAGAACAAACAGAAGCCTATCACTCCAGAGACTGCTGAAAAGCTGGCCCGTGATCTGAAGGCTGTCAAGTATGTGGAGTGTTCTGCACTCACACAGAAAGGCCTAAAGAATGTGTTCGATGAAGCAATATTAGCTGCCCTGGAGCCTCCAGAACCAAAGAAGAGCAGAGCCGCAGGTGTGTGCTGCTATGAACATCTCTTCAGAGCCCTTTCTGCACAGTTGGTGTCGGCATCACACTAAAAGCATTGTTTAAATCAAACTAAAGGGCTGGGGATGTGGCTCAAGCGGTAGTGCGCTCGCCTGGCATGCGTGCGGCCCAGGTTCGATCCTCAGCACCACATACCAACAAAGATGTTGTGTCTGTCGAGAACTAAAAAAAAATAAATATTAAAAAAA